GGGTTCTTCTTGCTAACGGCACTGTTTTTCTCGACAAATGCTTCTAGCTAAAAGAATTATTGGGGCTGGCAATTATGAATGTCAGAAATTATTACAGTGACTTCCAATCCTTGCTCAAATATTTCAGCAATCCAGCTGCTCTGGTTGTGGGATTACGTCAAATTTCACGTGTTCGTATGCGACGCGGGGAAACGTGAATGCTGTTTTCGCGTACGCTTGCTCAAGCAGTTATTGCCACATGAAAACACTCAGTACCGAGGGGCTCGCTAAATTCAATTAGTTTACTGTTGTTCACTAAGTCGATGTATCATGAATGGAATTATTATCATTGCATTTGTGTTATTTAAATATGTAATTAAAATCTATCTGTCTTGACAGCGGTTCCACTAAGAAACCCGCCGTGTTGAACTGTGCGTAAAAAGCCCGTTAATTCATCGTTATTTCAAATGTGACTGTTTGGAGAAACTGGTTGAAATGGATGAAACACTAACACATCCTGGTCCCAGACATCAGAGAACGGTGCTGCTGCTACTGCTGCTGCAGGACCCGGGTCCGGCACCACCGCCTGGCCAGCTCCACTCATTCGATCCGAACTCAGTTAATCGTGGTGGTGCTGAAAAAGATCCCAAATTACAAATAAATTCCTAGCATTTAGCATCGTTCATCTCAGTTTATTTCAGTGTATGTAACATAGGCTTTTGTGAGGAACAGAAAACACAGAGTAAACCAGCATATGGTCAAAATAGTCATAATAATAGTAATAATAGTAATAAAAATAATAATAATGATAAAAGTAAGAATAGTAGTAAAAATAATAACAACGAAAATAATAATAAAATAATAACAATGATGACGAAAATAATAATAATAAAATAATAACAATGATAGCAGAAACCATAATGACGGCATTAATGAAAATGAGAACAGTACACCAGAATAGGGTATGCAAGGACAGTATATCTAGCACAAAGGACAGTATACAGAGACAGTATACCCAAATAGTTAAATACCTAATACCTACTTAAATATATCTACATATAACGAGACAGCATAGCTAAACTCTTATACCTAAACGAAGCCTCGAATTGCAATTGTGCCACTCCCTAGAGTACGCCAGATACTTTTAGCGAAGTGACGATTTTAGATACCGGACAATCTGCTAAGTTGAAAATTTGCAAGGATATTCTATATTTGCGTGTGGCTTAAATTAAGCTTGGAAAACTAGATTCGCTGAACATGCAAATAACAAATGCTCAATTCTATCTCACCTCAAAAACGAGTTCATTTGCTCGGATTTCGTCATCCTTCTCTCTTGACATCCTGTTCATTGTCCAATTTGCATTTTCAAAGAACGACACACCACCGGGAATACTCGCTTCCCTCCATGCAAAATTTACGGTAATCATACATGCTGGTGGTTAAGGATTTACGCGGCTTCATGATACAATACTACTGTCTCAGCTGACGCCTTTTTCCTCCGTATGCAGGAAGAGACCAAAACACATCCAACATTAGCGCACATGTTATCCAGCATCCACACTTTGAACAATCTGACTGCTTCAAGTTTAACGCAAAAACACAATCGCACCGGCAAACCCTGTGCATCGCTATCTGGGTATGGGGATGAAATATCGGGTAATTGTCAATTAACGGTGATCCACCGAGCCATGGAATGCCACATGGTAGGTGCTAGTAAATCGCAACACATTTCCAGTGAAATACTATGATTTCAGTTTGGTGTGAGTGGTATTTTCAGAAACACTGTATGGTTATTTCCGGGTTAACAAAAAGATGAACTGGTTTACTGAATGGTACCCATGCAATGTTAAAAAAACACAGAAAGATAATTCAAAGCCGTCCCGCTCGAACGGTTGTTTGGAATTATGTGGATGAGAGAAGTCTAAAACAAAAAAGAATGGAGAAGTTGCTAGCAGAGGTGTATCAGTGGCGAGAAGTGAAACGCGACAATGAAACAACCGTTGACCAAAAAAATCAGCAAGAACGGATTTGTCAGGAAGCGCTGGCAAAGGTAAACGCTGACTAAGCAAATTGTTAATACAGTGTATCCTACTCGCAAAATTGATCAAGATTTTGATAAAAAATATAAATTTTGCGGAATTGGAGCGTTTCTTTTTCAACAGTACATTATCGGGAAGCGCGAAAAGTGGAAAAGGAAGAGAAATGCAGTACATTTGGGGAGCACTCGTCTTCTTCCTGCGCATTTCTTCGGGCTTTATCCTAAGCGGAAGTAGCAAATTCAAGCAAAAGTTATGCGGGCTTCATCAAACAGACATTCCAAACGGGGTGCACACCCACCGCCGATGACCCCTGGGCAAGTGGTCATTGTGGTGACCGCATATGCCATTCCTCCCTTTTTCGCTCCGTCAAACGAGTAAGAGTGACACAAAAAAGGAGGGGGAGGCCAGCCAGCAGGTGGTTGCGGTTGGTTGGGAAGTGGTGTGCGGCAACAGCGAAGGCACTGCACCCATTCCAGAGAGGACGGGCCGGTAGCCATGGACATAGCCGAGAAACGAGTGAGGACGCACACACACACACTCATACACACACACACAAACAAACACACACACACACTACGAGCAGCATCGCACACAACGAAGACGCCACACTGGTCTGTAGTAGTACTATTCTGCAAAACAAACATATGGCGCAACGAGCCTGGTTCAGGGTCCCCCGAGATTTCCCGAAGTGCTGGGGTGTGGTGGTCCGCGCAGCATGATGTCCGACCGCGACTGACCAGCAGGAATTTCAATGAGGTCTCGAAAGCTGCTTGTTGCAGTTGGGCGCAACTACCTGGAACAACGGGGGGGAGCGGGGGGGTCACCCGAGATTTCCCAGGATGCTGGGGTGTGGTGATCTGGGCGGCATGATGTCCGCGACTGACCAGCAGGAGTTTCAATGAAGTTTCAAAGCTGCTTCTTCCAATTGGCTTGCAGCAATGCAAAAACGCGCAGATTGTACCGTAACCAAACGATCTTGAGTGGCTAACATAACTAATGGCCTTGGTG